TCGCCCCCTGGTGGACACTAGAGAGAATGCAGCTTTAAGACACTTCACGTCTCAGAATCAGAGGTTGCCGCCTGGCTCATAAAGATCTGCATCATCTGCAAATGGTAAAACACATTTAGGACAAATGGTTATTATATGGTTAAGAAAAGAAGAAAATGCTCTCACCCTCCCTTCAGCAGAAATAACAATCACTCTTCCCTCCCTCCCTCTCGCTCTTTTTCTGACTCCCCATATGATGGACTTCACACAGTCCCTCGAGAAGCTTTGTGTGCTTCTCATGTTCATCAAAAACAGACAATGATAGAAGTCATGTTTGCTTTTAAGGCCGATAAAATATCTATTGTCCCGTCTTTAAAGGACAGAGACGGCTGTACAACGCAAAGACAAACACTGATCATCAAAGCTTGTAGGACAATCCATCATGTTTACAGACCATTTCATTCTCTTGAGATCAGGAATACTTCTGCACCACTCATGTTCAAACCTTCCTGTCTGCGATGTGAATCGAGGTCGGGGTTCAGGGTCCCTGTTGCCCCTCTATGGGTGCCCTCTTCCAAACAGTCCACGGCTTTGTTTACCTTCTTTTCTCTCAGCTCAGTCGACACGCAGCGACTCAGAACAAGGCGTTTTTTTGTCCGTCTGACATTCGCCAGAGCAACAAAGAGAATTCACTGCGGAGCTGGAAATGAGTGTTGATAACAGCTGAGCCTGGAGTCTGTTGTGTAGAAGAGAGGAAACAGGCTCAGATCTCAGTTATTTCTCTAGCCGGCACACAAAGAGGCCTGATTTTAATTTACAGCCAATTTTCATTAAATTACCCAGCATCCTCCTGTGGATACGTCTGAGGGACACTCCACCGCTCATCTTAAATCAGTGACCGTCTGTGATCCACAATATTGCTAAAAAAACCTGAAGGTATTTATTTGTTGCTACAATCTGGATACATTGAGACACTACAGGTGAATAACTAGTAGATATCAACACTAAACTTCCTTAGTTAATTACTTAGATCAAGACTATTATGTTTTGTATAAAGATTTCTAAAAATGCATGTTTAAATATGCAAATGAAGCATTCTCTTATGAAATATATTCATATATTTCCAGAACATAAATTGAAACAACAGAAAACCTTACCTATTAATATTATTTTCCAGTTTTTGCTCAAGGTCTCTCTAAATGCAATAAAAGTAAAGGTAGCAACACTACACTGTAAAAATAATTGAATACAAGGAAAAGACTAGCAGTAAAAATCCTCTTTAAGGATGCAAGTATTATCTTCAAAATATACTTAGAGTACAACAAGTGAAAGTACTCACTGTGGACAAATGCCCCGTTATAATGTTGTATAATATTTTATAATATTAGATTATTATGCATCAAGGTGTTGGTCACATTTCACTGTTGAAGCTGGCTGAGATGGAGCTCATTTTTTACTATTTTATATTCTGCTGGGTAGTTTGATCAATAACATTACATCCTATTATATACAGTTATAATATATATTTTTATGTAAAATCTTAACATGGAAAGTAACTAGTAACTCCAAATAAATAAAACGACATGAAATGATACACTAAGTCAAGTATTTAGATACTTTCAGCCAAATATCTTCTGTTGCAGTAAATCATGACATTTTATCCTCACGTACTTACTAAAAACACCTTATAAAAAGAACAACTGAGGCAAAGAGTAATTTTCAAGGCAGTCACATTTATTCATCTTTTTATACACATTTGCTAACCTCTCCTGCTCGCTGTTGGCTTGGATAGGATTCTATGGGATTCCCACAATGCTTACTAAAAAATAAATACAAGACGAAGTGTTCCACAGCTCAAAAATATACAAAGGTTGGAAATCAATGTAAACTTTGAAAACATCTTTCTTTTTTTTTTTTCTTTTTTTTTTACATAAGAAACAATTCAACCTTTGTGACAATTCCAAAAGTTATTGTATTTACAAGTTTGTACAAAAAAAAAAATACAAAGCTGATACCAAACAGATCTGAAGTCAGTCAGTTGATCAGAAATCTGAAATGAAATGCATCGAGTACCAGAAGTGATCCAGAAGTGATTCTTCTCGAGTGTTGGTTTTGTTTCAGTCAAGTAAATGAGAGGAGGCGAACAGTTTGATTCCGCTATACGTGTGCACGTTCTCACCTTACGACACTATAGCGTTCTCATTGTGTGGATATTATTAAAACAGCTTTGTGTAAAACGTCTATAAATATCTGCAGGTACAGCAAGAGACAGATGCATCTTCACAAACATCACTTTATCAGTGCAAAAAAAGAAAGAAAAAGGGTTGGAATGAAGGTTCACAGACATCTTGTGTACCCTGTTATATGGCATTAGTATGGAGTGTCATTAAGGCCAAAATGAAGTTCATATTTACAGTGTGCCTATAAGGCAATATGGCTACATAGACTCTGTCATCATCTGCATAATGATTGAGTACCATCACTGCAATAAACATCATATACTGATAATATTACTGTGAATGTGTGGGACAAAATAAAGAGTGTCAGGTTAACAACTAAAACCTCACTTGTAGCTTATGACTGTTAATTCCATCTTTTAATGACATTAATGAGCAGCTTTATACGGAAGCCGAGAAGTGCGGTGCTAGTTAGTTAGTTATGTTGTTTCCTCTTATAACTGATAATGCTATGCTAGCATGCACAAATGAATGCAGTCAAGTCGTCACTTTGATCTCTGATAACATTTCCATATATGTGTTTTGTTTGTATCCTTTGTGAACAACATATTTTGAAAACCTGGAGTAGTCCCACACGTATCCTTTCGCTAACTTCGCTAAGTGTGTAGCTAGCTGTCAGCTCCATACAGTCGGCTGTATATAGAGACTTTATATTTAATATATATAATCTTTTTATAATGTACTTTTTAGTGTCAGCTGATTGACCTCAGTCATCTATGCTATTGGCAACCTTTTGTTTTAACAAAGTTTGTTTTCTTGAGAACGGTAAAATTAACTTGTGATCTAAAGAATTAAAATAAAAATAAACAAAAAAATAAAGAAATTGCTAGCAGAATCGTTCTTGGCTTCCGTATTATTCCTATTTGTCTCTGCAACCAGTGTCTGATTTAAAATGTGTCTCTTATAAACAAAATAACTATCTGAATAAAATACTTTATTAATAATACCAGCATTTCATTGCATCTAAAGATTTAAGTTTATCCAACAAAAATAGGGGATTTTCTGCGTCAGTTATAAAAATAAATATATTTAGATTGTTGCGACACAGAAACCAGGGCCGGTTGTATTTTTGATGGGGAATAAAACCAGACGAGCATTTTGGTACGATTAAAGCAACAAATGCCACGTCTCTAATCCAGAACTTCCTTCTGTTTCATCACAGATGAAAACCTGGTTCCATATTTAAACCGACGTCCTCTATAAAAACCCCGAAAAATCTCACGAAAACACTTGCTTGAGGCCCCGAGCTGCTTCGTCACTTACCTTCTCTTGCTGAGAGTAAAATAAGGCATTTTTGATCCTCCTGAACACTTTCCACTCACCTCTTTTCAACAATTCATAAACACACCGAGTCAGCCACCCAGAAATGACCATTGAAATAAACACACATGACCTCCTTGTTCTTCTACAGCTCTCATGTTTCACCACCTCTGACTTTTTTAATCACTTTTTCATCTCCCATGTCACACCTTGCCGCCTCCTCGTCTCCTAAGATTGTCAAGTTAGTGCTTCCTGTGTCACCTTTAATTACTCGTCTTATTGCATGAGAATTATTTAAAAGTTTCGTAATAGTGAGTTATCTTTGATTCAAAATGATTTGTAAAATTGTGATTTGTAAAATTGTGTGTGTCTAATTGCATAGGTATTCACAGAATACATACAGGTATACATCCAATATATTTCTTCTAGTTGTACAAGAAAACTCTCAGACTGTGATAGCAGATTGAACATCATATACTGTAGCAGGACTGAAGGAAGGCTCGAGCTAATGTGCCATAAACTAACTAAATAATAGTTTTTTAGAACCATGTAAGCCAGAGTCCTGCATCGGGTCGCATACACATAGCTAGTACTAGTGCTAATCGCTAGCAAACACATAGCTAGTACTAGTGCTAATCGCTAGCAAACACATAGCTAGTACTAGTGCTAATCGCTAGCAAACACATAGCTAGTACTAGTGCTGCTAGCTGCTAGCAAACACATAGCTAGTACTAGTGCTAGCTGCTAGCATACACATATACGTTCTTGCCTTGCATGTAAACTCAAATTCACGAATGTTAATAAGAGTACTGTGAATACTGTGTTTTGTCACAATAACACACCCTTTACAGCAATAGTCTGCATGCTAGTGATTAGCATTAGCACTAGCTAATTGAAAGGGTAATGGCTACCATGAACGGTAAGTTAAATAAAATTACTTCCAGCTACATTTTAAAGTAACGTAGACCAAACTCAGCAGTTCATTTTTATGTTCTGGAGCTGTAGCATGACATCATGGTGGAATTAGCAAGCTAGCTAGCTAAGTAGCCAGCCGCTGAATGAGTAAATATTTGAATTAATGCTTCATCCATTATTTAAATTTCCTGCCTAAAAATGTGAACATGTGCTGCTCAATTTCATGAAAAATATTCATTTAAATTGTATTTCTGAAATTACGTTCTTTGTAAAATACATCATCTTAGAATCACATGTATGAAATGGCTCAAAATGATTAAAACGTGCTGCCTAGCCAACTTATTGTATTATTAGACCCATGCAGGACTTTGACGTAAGCGTGTTTTTTGTTCTGCAGAATAATGTTTTGCTCATCATTCGTATTCATCAATCATGTTTTTTCTACAGAAAGTAGCTGCAAATTAATCCAAGTTACCTTAATGGCAAGTGTTCATATCATGAGGGTAATCTTTAGACAAACGGTGTATAAAATAGTTTTAAAGTATTCCACAGAATAACCAAAAAGGAAACATCTATAAAAACTCAGCCACAATTAGTCAAATTATAATTATTTTTGAAACAAACTGTTATTTAAATATATATTAGAAGTCATTCTGGTCCATTTGTTGTTGTTGTTTTTACTGTAAACTAACAAAATGTCATACCTCTGGACTCTCTTGTTTTTCTACGTGGAGCCCTGAGACGAGCGGTCGTCGTGAGGACTCCCGTCCGAGTTCTCCGCCTCGCCTTCGGAGATCGCCTGCATGGGCACCGAGTACAGTCTGCCGCGGGCGCCGTATCGGCTGCTGTTGGCGGGCGGCGGGATTCTTGGGCGGCCCTGCCTGGAGGCAGCGGATGTGGGGAAGGATTTCGGGGAGAAGCCCTCTGCGTTGGCTTTGGGGTACGGGCTGGAGAGATGTTCTGGTCCTGACTGCTGCTGTAAGGGAGAGTCGGGCTCTTCGGTCCGTCTGGGCGACTCTATCAGGGAGTCTGATGCAGATTTAGGAGCAACGGGACTTTTGAGGATCTCCGTCGCTGACATGCGGTAGCTTGACTCGGAGCGGCTGCCCTTCTTCAGCAGCAGCAGTTTGAACTCCTCGTTGGAGGTGCTGGACTTCTTGGCGCTCCTGTAGATGGGTCCAGAGACTCTGTGCAGGCCCGGCGGGGTCACGGCAGCGGCGACGGCGGGGGAGGATGGAGACACCAGCGAGACTGGGGAGCTCCCAGTGCTGCCAGGCGGCGAGTTCCCCGATGCAGCACCGAGGCAGTTCCTCGCGTTCAGCTCCGTGGAATCCTTCCTGCCCAACACTTTCCTTTTGGACCTGAAAACGAAAGAGAAATCCAAAATAAGACTCTCTGTAGACTGTTGGGACAAAAGAGGCCGATAACCAAACTAACCTACCTGTGAATCATAGCGAACAGATCCTCGGTGGTCCGAGCCTTGGTGGGGGACAGAAACACAGCTTCGTCCTCGGGCCGGGACTCGTCAATCAGAGGAGACGCTGTGTTTTCACTGGAGTCTGTTCATAAAATAAACATTTAAATACACAGCAAACTCTGTGTATTAATATACGATAGTGAGGAAAAATATGCAATTTTTGTGTTGCAGAAATTTCTTCCAGATTCATCATGTGACCCCATGTGACCCCTGTTAGGAGGCAGCAGACACCAGGTTGATCTACTGAACTTACAAAATCTGTGGTTATCAATAACAAGCCGATTCACTGAGAGGAAAATGGTTTTGATTTGGTTATTTAAACAAAACCACGTTGATTATATTTGAAAAAGATCCAAAGTGAGGCTACATTTGACTCCAGTAGATGCGGAGAACTCTGGTCGTCTCAAACACAATAAAACCCTCACAAGTAAGTTCATCACAACATGTGACCAACAAGCAGAACATCAGTCTGTTTGTGGAGCAGCCGTCAGGTAATGGTAGTGATGTCATACGGTAGTGATGTCATACAGAGTTTGATCAGAAGAACAGGATCAATGAGAGATAATCACTGAGATCATTGTTTAGATGATAATGTGTTTGAAAGATTTTAGAACTTCTTGTATAGCTATTTCAAGAAAGACTATTTGGTTACATACAGAATAATAAAGAAATGTGGATTCTTTTCTTAATTAATTGCCTTTTTTTCCTCACAAAATAATCAAAAAGAACCAATAAGAGCATCAATAAGCAACTGAATCGGTAAGTAGTATCATTAAAATCATCAGTGATAGATAATGTACCTCTACTGAAGCGATCCTCAGGCTCCTCCTGGCCGTCCTGAGAGGCATTGTGGTCTGAAGCACCTGGCGACTCAAACTCCTCCTCTCTGCTACCTTCATCGCCGATTGGACTCCCTTCCGACGCCTCCAATTGGCCGCCGGCAGCAGGCACTTCATCAGGTACGTTGGCTGAACTGTGCAGCACAGAGAGAGCTGCTTCTTCTTCTTCTTCTTCTTCTTCTTCTTCTTCTTCATCTTCTTCTTCACGTCTATGCAGCTGTAAAGCCTCAGGTGTTTCTGCCGACTCTCTGCATGTCTCTCCTTCATATCCGTCCACCGGCAGCGGTCTGAACGCCTCCTCCTCTCGGCCCATCGCACTCCTTGTCTCACTCCGACACTCTCTGTCCGCGAGCTCTTCGTTTGAGGTAAACAAGGATTCACACGACCCCTCGGAGGGCGGGCAATGTAGACGCGAAGGGCTCCTGAGCTCCGCGGACGTACTGCAGAGAAGTGTGTTGGTTGAGTTCTCAGCGGGACATGTGGACGTGGTTTCGTCCTTGTGGCGTCCTTTGACTTCCGTACCGATGGATCGGAGCTGGACTGAGATCAGAGCTGTGGGTGTGATGAACATGGGATGGGCGGGTTTGTGTTTATTTTGGGGAAGGATTTGAATCTGGGTCCTGTACGCCGAGGACTTGTCTTCGACGCCATGAAGGGCACTTAAGTCGAGGTGGGAGGGAGGGATTATGGGCAGCTCCAGGTCCCTCCTCGAGGAGGGGAGCGACTGCAGCGACTGCGTCGTAAGAGACGACTTCCTCTCGGGGACTTTGGGCTTCCTCTTGCCGCTGGACGGCGACAGCGGTCCTGGGAAGAAGGCGGCGGAGACGGAGGGGAACGACGAGGTCGGGGTCTCCGACTGGCTGGAGTATCCACTGGACGGGCTGGTCAGGCCCGCCAGCTTCTCCGGAGACGTCAGCTTGAAGTCTCCCTCCGACGACGGGAGGGAAGGGGTGGTGGCTCTGGAGCCGGGCTGCGACGTCTGAGACTCGGAGCTCTCCTGCGACTTGACGCACTCGATGACGGTTGTACCCGTTGCCGTGCTGGAGTTCGACAGAGACCGGTAAGGATCGCTGGATTTTAAATCGTTCAGGAGCCACAGATCGGCGTAGTCCGACTGCACGACGCCCTCGTCCTTAAACGAATGCGAATCCGTGGCGCTGAAGACCCCTAAGTCGGTCAGATTGGCCGAGCCCTCGAAACCCCAGACCACCAGAGGCTCCCTGACGAGCGAGGAATTGGACAAAACCAGCTGCAGTTTCCTCTCCTTGGAAGACATCTTTGGTTCTTTGTTGTCAGGGATGTGTCCCTCGCTGCATATCTTTCTCAGGGAGGAGCTCCTCTTCGGCGGACTCGGCTTCGCCTTTGGTTTTCTCAAAGAGAGGCAGCGCCTCCCCAGAGTCATGTGACCGTCGAAGTCCGACTCGGAGCCGGGTGCCGCACAGCCGTAAGAGAAGCTCCTGCTTCCGTTGATGCCGCAGTCAAAGTGCATTGAGGTGTAGTAACCCTCTGTGTCCACAGAGTAGTGAGACACGGTGTCCGCCTTCTCCGACGGCGGCTTGTCGGAGAGGCTGCTCTCGCATGTGGCCATACTGGTGAAGCTGGGGCAGCCCAGGCTGCTCTCCACCTCGCGGCTGGGGTCGGGGCTGAAGTCCCGAGGGCGCAGAGTCTCCGCGTCGGGGTAACTCCACTCCACCTCCATGGGAGCGCTGACCCCGGCCTCCTCTAATATGTCCATAGCCGTGGAGGAGAAGGAGCCCGCCCGCTGGGTCCTGAGACCGTGGTAGTGGTCCAGCAGGAAGCCGGCGTGGTCGTCTTGGCTGTGAGCGGCGGCGTTCAGCGAGAGCTCGGAATCGCAGTGCGAGGAGCCCGTCAGCGGCGGGGAGGCCGCCGGGGGGATCGTCTCCGAGGTCTGCGAGGGGCAGGTGGAGCTGCTCCCACTCCAGTTCCCGCTCGAGGACTGGTGGTCCTCCTTGTGGTCCAGCTGGACTCCCGCAGCGGAGACGGAACGGACGGGGCTGCTGAAGGTGTCCGAGCTGGACGAGATCTCGCAGCTGCCCATGTCGGCCTTCCTGGGCAGCCGGGACCTGGTCCTCTCCATCCAGCTGCGCTCCGGACTCTCCGAGAGCTGCTTGTACTTCAGGCCCATCTGGCGGTCGGACGCGACACGGTCATCCACGCTCTCCTCTCCGTCCTTCAGGTTCAGCTCCCCGGGTCGGGGAAGGAAGTCCTCAGCGTCGAAGGGGGAGAGCTCCTCGTCGTCGTCGCTGTGCCCGTCGTCCATCATCCGGCTCCCGTCTCTGGGCAGACTCCGGGAGCGCAGGCGTGCGTCGACAGAGGCGGAGAACATGGCGTCGCCGTCGTCCGACAGGAAAAGGATGTTGCCCGCAGAGTGGGAGACGGCCTGGCCTCTCTGGGACCGGATCCTTCTCCGAGACGGAGCTCCTGAGATCAAAAAGTCTTCGGTCTGGCAGCCGGAGTCTCTGGTGCCGAGGCGGGCGTCCAGCTCGTCGGTGGAAGGAGTGACGTCCGGACTGTGAACGATCACCGTCCGCTCTCTGGAACCAGGAGAGTCATCCGAGTCTGGGAGGAGACAGATGTGCAAAATTAATTTAGTATTCATTTATTTCATATCATATATATTAGTTTAAATCTTTTGTTTTTTTATTACTATATTTACCTACCTCTTATTGCTATTCTATTTTACACTGGTGTTAGGATTATATTTACTACTCTATTGCTAAATGTTTGTATTTTTATTCTATTGTTTTTTGTTATTCTTCTGTTGTGATATTTAATCAAACTCTTGAATAAGAATTTAGAAAGTTCTATCTCATCTCTTATCTCATCTCATTTCTTATTTTATCGCTCATCGTATCTCTCATCTCTTATCATATCTCATATCATCTTACACAGAGTTCCATAACTTGTATTTCTGTATTTAAGTGTCGACCACATTGCCAGATAAAGAGAGAGAACTTTTGTTTCATGTCCTTCCTCATCTCTCCCTCCTCTCATGTCCTGTCATCTCTCTCTTCTGTCGTTTGGCTAATAAAAGCATGAAATGCCCTAAAAATAACGCTGAAAAGATGCCTCACTAGTCGACGTCTCTCATATTTATGTAGATGTACGTTAAAGACCATCGTTCTGCTCGTCTTCTACAGCAGAAGAACACAAAATAAAACCCACAGCAATGAACCTCTTTGTTTTCAAATCATCATAATTATCTCTACAATGACGAACGTGTGATTGAGAAGCTTTTTGTTTCAGTTCAACATTAACACATAAATAACATACTTTGATATATTTTCTGTTAACAGCAGCAGCTGTGAATTAAAACTTGTGAAACATCTTTGTTCCCGTGAGGAGTTACATACCCAGATCTCGCTGCACCTGTCGTGGAACGCCGGCGACGGTCCTCCTCCTCCTCAGCTTCCTCCTCCTCTGAAGCACAGACTGCGAGTGCACGAGCGAGCAGCGCACACTGGCATCTCTGTCGAAGCCGACGCCTGCAAGCAGAGACGGGACGTCTGAGGAATCTTTGATGAGCTGCGACTCCTTCTTTTAACTCTCAACTGTAACTCTAAAGTAGACGATGTTCTGCAGAAACAGCAGCCGGGAGTGGAGGACGCTGGAGTCTTTTAACTACTTGATGTTACGTCTGAACTATGAAAACATAAAACAAAATGCAACTTTTTGTGCTTCCTCCTCCCTCCCCCTCCGTTATGATGATCATGTGACAGCAAGTCAGGCCTTTTCAGCACCATAGCAATGGCTGCACTTTGCTTACGATGTGCATTTTATACCCCCCCCCCCCGACTGTGTCTGACTCGGCCAGCCTTGGAGACGTACAGCTCTTCTTTGGACTCAGTGAGAGTAAGTTACAGCTTGGCCCTTTTCACTAGTTCGGACAGAACTAATTGGCATTCGTGTCGCAGCGTCAGCGGCACAAAGCGCTGGAGCACGAGGGAGAGAAAGTTAACGGGGGGGGGGGGGCACAAAGCATGACTTGGCGACGTTGATGATCTTGAAGGTTATTATGAGTAGAAGCAGAATTTCAAAAAAAAATTCCTGCAAATCAGGGCAGATGTTTAGACGGAGTTTGGTGTGATTTTTGCAGGGATTTGAACCTTAAGTCTGCAGACCAGGGCGTCTCTGCAGCGCCACAATATTTGATTTCATTAATTTAATACACACTTTGTCTTGAAACAAATATTGCGCCTCCTGAGATTTGATTTAAATGAACGTGGACAGTAACTGATACACAGACGCTCATTTTAAGGGTGAAATGTTAAAAGAATGGTTTGACATTTTTTGGGAAACAAGCTCGTTAGCGTTCTTGCTAAGAGTTAGCTTGTTAGATCGATACCTCTCTCTTAATATGGAGCAATAGCAAGATGACGGTTAGCTTAGCTTAGCATAAATGCTGGAAACAGAGGGAAACAGCCAGCCTGGCTCTGACCAGCACCTCTAAAGCTCATTAATTAACATGTTATATCTTGATCTTGGGTCACTGGGCTGAACCAGTTGAAATCAGAGTCATAATTTAAAAAAAGTATAGTTAGGCATTTTGGGAAAATGTGGTTATTTATTTTCCTGCCAACAGTTAGATGAGAAGATTCAGACCACGACTCACAACTAAAGGAGCTCCGCTCCTCTGATGCCAACCTCCTGTCTCTTCCACTCAGGACCAGGCACCGGACATGGGGTGACAGAGCCTTCTCCATATCTGCCCCCTCCCTCTGGAACTCTCTCCCCAAACACATCCGAGACTGCACTGACCTCTCCACATTCAAATCTCAGATCAAAACCCACCTGTTCAAAACTGCTTTTAATGTGTGACCACTATTGTGTATTTCATGTTTTTAGTGTATTGCTTTTATATATGATGATTTTAATGTAAAGTGTCTTTGAGTTTTATGAAAAGCGCTATATAAATAAAATGTATTATTATTATTATTATAAAGCCAGGAACCGATAGGCTAAACTTAGCTTAGCATAAATAAAATCACCAGTGCTTAGTGCTGTTGAACAACACAACTATGTCAACGAGCTCTTGAGCAACACTTCAACCGTGACTCGCCGACAACGTTGCTAGCAACGCTTGGCCGTTTTGTTGCTTTTGTCAGTTGTAGTGTGTAAAGCTTATGCTAAGCTAAGCTAACCATCTCCTGGCTCATATTTAGCAGACATGACATGAGAGTGGTACCAATCTTCTCATCCAGAAAATGAAGCAAATGTATTTCCCAAAATGTCTAAACTGTCTCCTTTCAGAAGAGCTAACGGAGACGTCACAGTAAACAGATCGAATAAAACAGAGTGCTTTGGATTTACCGGTCACATTAATGGGGATGACACAGGAGTTGATGACTTGGGAACTGGTTTTCATTCGTTCCTCTGGGGTGGGAAGCGGCAGCGCTCTGGACCAGTTAGTCTGCTTGTCCAGGGTGGTGGGGGTGTTAGGGACGGGGAACTTGGGCCGGTGACCCAGGGCCACCTCGTCGGTGTCGGGGTCAGAGGGCGCGGCCTGCAACAGATGGATGTTTAGCACGGTTAGCTTGTTAGAGGGTGAGGCGGCGTTACATGAGGAAACTCAGCTTCAGAGAGAAGATCTGTGTTTTTAATTATGTTTTATTAATCTGCTGAGGAGGCAAATCAATACACAAGCTCCTCAAGAAGCTGAGTTTCACTTTGGAGTTATTGGAAATAAAAAGATAAAAAGCATGCTTTAGAGAGAGACGGAAAATGGAAAAGCACATTAAAAGAACGCAAAAAAAAAAGTTCCCATCACCGACTGCATCCGAGCTTCAGACCAAATAAAAAAGGTTTTCCAGCGCGTGTCGTGATCAATACTCACTGTGAGGAAAAAGAGACAACGAGACAAACATTTCCAGTCACAACATGCTGCTCTGAGGACGAGGAGCTCCGAAAACCTGTGACACCTGAAGCGACATTAAAGACGAATACGTCCTCTGATCCTCCATCAGACCTAAACCCTCCACCCATGAGTCTATGAAGTCTGTTCTTCAGCTCTTACCTTGAGGTTCCTACAGAGAGGCACATGTGAAACTGGGAGTGATTCTCAGGCTGAACTGGTTCCCACCACCTCTCCACCCCCCCCCCCCCCCCCCCCCCTCCCGCCCCCCCACACATTTAAAACCCAGCTCTGCAGCCTTTTGTGCTCTCTGTTCCCAGCAGACCAATGAGACCCTGACACCAAAACTAAAGGCCACAAAAGAAACTGGTTTCCCTGGAAACTTCTCCCAAACAGCAAAAGAAAAAGGAAACACTTACAGCTGACTTGTTTCAAGAGCAGAAAGGATGAAGGAAAGGAAACGAGTGGCAGTGATTGCCTTCACAGCGGGCATCAACAAAAAACTTAGATCTCTTAAGAGATCGGTGCAAGCAAGGAAACCGCAGAGGGATCATGGGTAATAACGGGAGCAAGCTCCTGGAAGTCGATCCCCTATCATTAGACCTCTTGGCTGCTGTGGCCCTCACACACACACACACACACACACACACACACACACACTCCCGGAGCTTCACGTGACGTAACGTGATTCAGTTTCACGTGAACCTCCCGTTTTCTGAGAGGAGCATGCATTTCAAAAGAGACCTGTTTATGCAAATTAGTGAGGAGTCAAACAAAGAAGGAGGGGTTCATAAAGTGTGAGAGGGAGGAAGGGAGGAAGGGAGGAGGGAGGGAGGGAGGAAGGAGGGAGGGAGGGAGGGAGGGAGGGACCACTACCTTTCTGCTCCAGGGAGAGAAGCGGCAACATTCGGTATTGGAGGAGGAGTGGGTGGATTCAAACTGAAGTCCAGGGAATAAACAAAACAACAAAAACCGAATGAACATGGAGATATTTAACATAAACAGACACACGGACAAAAGAGAAGAGACAATAACACCGGGGTGAACTTATCTGAGATGATTTATGCAACATTTACTCTGGCGGTGATGAAACATGATAAATTGGGGGCTGGACACAGAAACGCATCACGTTACCTGTGTTTGTGCTAACTGTGTCGATGCATCTCTAACAAGCCTCTCCGGCTGCTTGGAGGACAGAAAAATCTGCAATTTTACTTCAAAATGACATTTAAAAAGAAAATGACTGTAATGTAATGTTTGCATTAAAAATAATCATACAAAAAAACTTGAAAAACGAATATTTGAGACGATATAAAGGATTAAACGGAGGATTTCAAGCTCAACGTCTCCTCTTAATGCTTTCCACCTTCAACTGCCACAAATATCAAAACAAAATACTCTTTCTGAAATACTGAGCGCAGCTGCTGTGAGGAACTTTCACTTAGTGTTGATTCTGGCGGCCCCTGTGGACGAAAGCGGTATTGTTTCGGAGCACCAGAGTCCCTTTAGAGAAAGCTCCTCGCAGTCACTTTAAACCAGCAGACATCATGTCCAGAGCAAGACGTCATATCTAGAGCTATGACGTCATTCAGGAAGTCTTTGAAATATGAAATTAAATTTGAGGAAACTCGTGAGGAACATTTATATTCCCCTGCAACGGTATTCATTCGTTTAAATTAGTTTATTTATCTGTTCACTTTTATCTCAAATATAATATATCTATAATATTATTTCATATAAATAGATGAAATAATATTTCAGATATTATTTCATATATTTATATATATTTGTTTTGATCCCAAATAAAGGACAAAAAATGGTAAAGATTAAGGAAGAAAAAACAAGAGTGAATATACTCAAACCAAAAAGATAATTAATAAAAGTAGTAAATAAAATGTAAATTCAATAACATGTTTGGGAAATATTGATATAATAACGAACTGACAGTTCAAAGTGACCTATCGACCTTTTCCAGGTATTGATTGGTTCCCTGACTTCTCAACAGATTAACTATAACGCGAGTCGTCTCACCGTCTGATTGGTTCCTCTCGGTTGCTGGCCGATGGGTGTGGGCAGGTACTCGGGCATCGGAGGCTCCGCTGAGGTGGAGATGGTTACTCTCCGCTCTCTGCTGCCCGATCGTCTCCTCTGGTGATCTGAAACAAGAAACATGTCAAAAACAAAACGTCTCCTACGTCCACTTAAAGGACCTCTTTCAACGCAGAGCGAAGGAACCCAGAGCAGGAGTGAAGAGATGGACACAGAACAATACAACACAGTATGTGTTTTTCAAAGACACCAGACTCCATCACTAAAGCAGTGAATCCGAATTAACCCTTTAAAACACTAAAGTCTCAAGAACACAACCTCAGTAACAGATGGAGGCAGCAGGAGAGCAGCAGCTCCTGTGTCCTGAGA